CAAACAGGGATGCCTGGGTGGCTCAGTCAGTTGAATGCCTGACTTCAGCATACGTTGTGATCTCACGGTTTGTGAGTTTCAGCCCTGTATTGGGCTCGCTGCTGTCAGCTTAAAGTCTGCTTTGGATCCTCTGTCCCCCTCTCTCTGGCCCTCCCCCTGCTTGCACTCTCTCAAAAATTAATAAATATTTTTAAAAATCTTAAAAAAATGGAAATGAATTCAAACAGCACATATGGACTGCAGTTAAAGCAATACTTGAAGGAAATATATGTACTCAGTCACTTACTTTAGAAGGCAGAGTGATTGGGGCGCCTGGGTGGCTTAGTAGGTTAAGCGTCCGACTTTCATTTAGGTCATGATCTCGCGGTTCTTGGGTTCGAGCCCTGTGTCGGGCTCTGTGCTGACTGCCAGCTCGGAGCCTGGAGCCTATTTCAGAGTCTGTATCTCCCTCTCTCTCTCTGACCCTCCCCTGCTCACGCTGTCTCTCTCTCTCTCTCTCTCTCCTAGAAATAAATAAAAAAAAAAAAAAAAAGAAGGCAGAGTGATTTACTTAAGAAGTTAGAGCAGGCACAGAAAAAGGAACTCAAGGCAGAAAGAAAGTCATAAAAATAATGGACATTGGAGATCTAAAATACATAACAGAGAGGCTCCACTGAGCCACAAATCCACCTTTTTTCAGGGAGAATTTAATATTAATACCAACCTATATATACATAAAAAGTAGAAAGGTGGACTCCTAGCTCACACCACATACAATATATAACTCAAAAATGGATCACAAAGTTAAATGTATAAATTAGAATTGAGTAATTCAAGGTCATGAAGATTTACTCCTATATTTTCTCAGATTCTAGTATATGTGCTGCCAAAGCGAGCACTATTTTCTTAGATTCTATATTAATTCCTACATTCTAAGAATCTAAGGATTCTTAGATATGACACCAAAATCACAAGCAACAAAATCATGGGAAAAAAAAGATAATAGCAAAATTTAAAACTTTTGTGATTCAAAGAATACTATCAATAAAGTGAAAATATGGGAGTGCACAGAATGGGAAAAAATATTTATAAATCACATATCTGATAAGGGACTTATATCCAGAATATATAAAGAGCACTTACAACTCAACAAAAAAAAGACAAATGACTCAATTTAAAAATGAGCAAAAGACATGAACAGACATTTCTCCAAAGAAAATACACAAATCTCCATTAAGTACATGAGAATGCTCAACACCATTCATCATTAGGGAAATGCAAGTCAAAACCACAATGAGATACTACTACCTCATATACCGTAAGATGGCTACTATCAAGCACTAAAAACCAAAAGAACAAAATCAAAAATCATGTGTTGATGAGGATGTGGAGAAATTAGAACCGTTGTGCACTATGGGTGGGAATGTAAAATGGTGCAGCCACTATGTAAAACAGGACAGTGGTTCCTCAAAAAATGAAAAATAGGAATACCAAAGGATTCAGCAATTCCACTTCTGGGTGTATACCCAAAAGAACCGAAAGCAAGATGTCAAAGGGATATTTGCACATCTATGTTCATAGCAGCATTACTCACAATAGCGAAAACACAGAAGTAATCCAGTGTTCACTGATGGAAGAATGAATAAGCAAAATGGGGCGTGTGTATACAATGGATTATTATCCAGCCTTAAACAATGAAGGAAATTCTGACACATACAACAGGGCTGAAGATTGAGGACATCATGCCAAGTGAAATTAATAAGGCGGTCACAAAAAAACAAACTCCGTAGGATTCCACGTATATAAGGTACTAGAATACTCAAAATCATAAAGATGGAAAGTAGAATGATGGTTTTCAGAAGCTAGGGGGAGGGGCAAGTGGGGAGTTATTGTTTAATGGGTAGAGAGTTTCCATTTTACCAGGTACAAAGAATTATGGAACTACACGGTGGTGATGGTTATACAACAATTTGCGTAGATTTAACACCACTGAACCGTGCACTTAAAAGTGGTTAAGATGGTAAATTTTATGTTAAATATATTTTACTACAATTAAAAAAAAGTAGTTAAGCACCGAGTTACCACGTGATCCAACATTCCACTCCTAGGCTGGTACCTAAGAGAACTGAAGACATGTCCACACAAAAACGTGTGCACAAATGCCCATTAGCAGTACTATATGCAATAGCCAAAAGTAGAAACTCAAGGGTCCATCACCTAATGAATGAATAAACAAACTCGAACATCCACAGGACAGAATATCACTCAGCCCATAAAACAAACAAAGTACTAGTACATGGTACAGCATAGATGAACCTTGGAAACATGCTAAATGGAAGAAGGCATTTGCAAAAGGCCACCTATTACATGGTGCCATTTACATGAAATACCAAGAACAGGCAAATCCACAGAGGTCAGCGGTTGCCATGGCAAATGGGAAACGACTGCTAATGGGTACCGTTTCTTTCGAGGTAATGAAAATGTTCTAAAATGGACCGTGGTGATAGTTTTGTGCCACGTACTTTGTGTGTACCAACATCTACAAGCCATGGAGCTGTATCCTTTTAAAGGATGAATTGAGAGGCATGTGAAGTATGTCCCAACAAAGCTGTTATTTACAAAAAAAAAAATCTTTCCAGGAGGAAAATTCAGCTGCAAGATGAGTTGTTCCCTACACCACAGGCTGCCATTCACAGAGACGAGGTAATGATGGCCCTTGGGGTGGGTAGTGTGGTGGCTCTTCTGAGACCATTGAACAGGTAAATCCCACCAACCACCCAGGAACATAGAACTCTAACAGGATACCAGGCGGCCACAGAATAAATAGGCAACGCCCTCCCAACTCTTTGGGATAGGCCCGATCCTAACCCACATCCAGGCAAGGGCAGTGTATGAAGGAAAAGTTACAGGTTGACTCATTAGATTGAAGGTCCTAAACAAAATACTAGTGGATTCCAGCAACAGATTAAAAAGATATCACAAAAAAAAAAAAAAAAAAAAAGATATCACATCATGACCAAGTTGTATTTTGGCTGACTTAATATTTGCAGAAATCAGTCAGTATAATTCACCACAATAATAACTTTCTTTTAACGATTGGTTGTTTATTTAGAGAAAGCACAAGCAAGGGAGGGGCAGAGAGAGAGGGAGACAGAATCCAAAGCAGGCTCTAGGCTCTGAGCTGTCAGCACAGGGCCCGACACGGGCTCGAACTCAAGAACTGTGAGATCATGACCTGAACTGAAGTCAGATGCTCAAACACTGAGGCCCCCACGTGCCCCACCACACTAATAACTGAAATGAATCATTTGCGACCACCTCAAAAAATACACTGATAGGAAAAAAAATGTGTTCTCTAAAATTCATTCCTAATTAAAGGGAAAAAAATCCTAGAAAACGGGTAGAAAAGAATATCCTTGACTTGATAAAGGTTACTTATACACAGACAGAGCTACATTATTTCAAAAGTGTGGAAAGCCTTCCTTATTTACTTGTTTGTTTTGTTTGCTTTTAAGTAGGCTCCCCACCCAGGACGGAGTCCAATTCGGGACTTGAGCTCACAACTTTGAGATCAAGACTTGACCCGAGATCAAGAGTTGGACACGCAACTGACTGAGCCTCCCAGGCACTGCAAAGGCATTCCTTTTAATTAAAGTCAAGAACAATATAAGGATGCCTGCAATCATGCTTCATATTTTATTTTATTTCATTTTGTATATATTTAAAAAATGTTTAAGTTTATTTTACTTATTTTGAGAGAGGGAGAGAGGAAGAGAGTGCATGTGCACCGGAGGGATAGAGAGAAAGGGAGAGAGAGAATCGCAGGGGGGCTCTGCATTGTCAACACAGAGCCTGATGTGGGGCTCGAATTCATGAAGTGTGAAATCATGACCTGAGCCAAAATCAAGAGTCCCTCGCTGTACTGACTGAGCCATGCAGGCACCCCTCAGACTGTATTTTAATAAGTTCCCAATGATTTTGATGGTGGCGATCCAAGCGCCTACTTTAAGAAATCCTGGGCTGGAGAAATCATTTTAACTATTGAGTTGGCCCCTTGTTCCCCAGGGTGCAAGGTCACCTACCCACCCCACTCCCACCTTCTGAGGGAAGGGACGAACTGTCCTTTCCTGTGAGCAATCCCTCAGCCAGGAATGTGCCGGAATTATAACCCTCACAATGCCGACAGGTGGTGTCCTGGCCCCCTCTGATGAGTGAGGCTCAGAGAAGGTAGGGAAGTAGTTCAGGCCACACAGCTCATGGATATATAAAGGGAGAGGCCATCCAGGGCCTCTGTGTGACAGGGTTGATAATGACAATGGCAGCAGCATTACTGACTGTTCACCATGGGCCGGGCCCTTGCCTTTGCCTGGGCTATCTTGTCGACTCTTCCCCGTAACCCCCCGGAAGCAGATACTCTTATTACCATTTTACAGGTGCAGAAGCTGAGGTAGGGACGTGAAATAGCTTGTCCAAGGTCACTCCGCAGACTGAGTATTAGAATCCAAGGGACCCACCCAAAGTAAGGTCGGCATTCGTATGAGGTCTTTGTTAAATATTCACGCAAATTACGCATTTTTATCAATATAGTTGCATCTGTTTTAATAAACAAAAAATGCTTGTTCCTTTCTCCCAGCAAATTGTCAAATAAAATTACCGTCTAGGGGCGCCTGGGAGGCTCAGTCGGTTAAGCATCCAACTCTTGATTGTGGCTTAGGTCATGAAGCTCTCCTTCTCAGAGGGAGTCCGGGAGGGCCTTCTTGAAGAGAACAGCCAGAGGTGGCGGGGGCCCCCACACACAGTCAGTTGAACCTCTGACTCTTGATTTCAGCTCAGGTCATGATCTCCCTGGGTCACGAGATCGAGCCCCGCACCAGGCTCTGCACTGACCCTTACGGGGCCTGCTTGGGATTCTCTACCTCCCTCTCTTCTCCTCCCCTCCCCTGCTTGCGGTCTCCCTCAAAATGCACAGATAAACAAAAAGTTTTTAATAAAAAAAAAGTTAAAATTCAATGGGCCTACAGGGAACCAACCGGCTGAAGATGGGACAGTCACCCCAGGCAGACACGACACCCTCGCCTCCGCCTGGAGCCCAAGGAATTGGAGCACGTACCTGGGGCACCTGGTCGATGCGAAACAGCCGAGGGAGCTTCAGGCTCAGCATCTTGAGGCTGGGACAACCGCTCCCTGTCACCCGCTCAGCGTTCGGACATGGCCCGGGGCGCCTTCGGCCAGCTGGTGCCCAGGACACTTCCCTGAAAGAGGACAGCGTGAAGAAACGCGTCAGCCTTGGCCTAACTCCAGCTGGATCAGCGCCGCCAGACTGTTGAACCGCGGAGCAAAAACTTGCCTGCAACGGCAAAATCATCAGGCTTCCTTATCACCAGACTATCAGACTGCGGGGTCATTTATTCCGCGGGTGCTGGAGGGTTCAATCATGATACGGGCAATCATAACACTCTAGGGCTGGACGGGCCGTGGGGGCCACCTGGTCCCCTCATGTTGCACATCGTCAGGGTCAGAGGGGTGGGGTGACCCCAAGGTTGCACAGCTCTGGGGGGGAGCTGGGGCAGAACTCATCGGGTGCTGCCCTTGGATCCCAAGTCCGGGTCCACCCGGTTCGCAGAGGTCGACAAGAGTCGGGCCCCAGGTCACCCGAAGAGAAGGCTCCCGGGAGCGTGGCCACCCCACGACACCTAAAAGAACCAGACGGGCAAATCGGAGCCGCTTGTGGGAGACAGAGCAAGTCGACGTAGCATGACTGTTTAAATGCAGGATGAAGGCTGCTTAACAGCTGTGCATAACGTGAGCAACAGGCCTAAGTTGTCTTAGGACAGGCCTAAGACGCAGAAACATCCAGGCTGGGTTTAGAAAAGGAAGGGCAGAGCCAGGAATTTGCCCTAGTTAACGCCTCTCCTGCCCCCATTACCACCGGATGGAAATCTGCCACCTCCTTAAAGCTCCCCCTGGGAGAATTCTGTCTTCCCCTCTGAAGGTCCAGAGATCTCTGCTGCACCTCTCTGGTGGGGCACCAACCTCATCTGCCCGCAAGCGAAGCTACGTGCCCTGGTGTCCGGGGGGCGGTGGAGGGGGCCCTCCCGGACGGCTGGCGACTGGGCACGTAGGCCTGGCTCACCCCGGGTCTTTAGCAAATGCTTCTTACACGCCACTCATGAAAGCAGCGCTGCTCATGCTATGAACTTGGAGTGTAGTTTGGATTCTGCAGTTTAAACTTTTGCTCCCTACTGCGGTCCTTATGTTCTATGTGTTCTTATCTGGAGCAACACACAATGTATGTTTTACTGGCCTAAATTTGCTTCTCTCTAAGAACGCCGAGGTCAGCATTATTCATAACAGTCCAAAGGGAAAAACAACTCAAGTGTCCTCCAGGACATGAAGGGGTAAACAAAATAACAAATGAGATATGGTCTGCACACACGATGCAATATGACTCAGTCTTAAAAAAGGAATGACATTCGGGGGCGCCTGGGTGACTCTGTCAGTTAAGCGTCCAACTTCGGCTCAGGTCATGATCTCACAGTTCGTGGGTTCCCGCCCCACATTGGGCTCTGTGCTGACAGCTCAGAGCCTGGAGCCTGTTTCAGATTCCGTGTCTCCCTCTCTCTCTGACCCTCCCTTGCTCATGGTGTCTCTCTCTCTCTCTCTCAGAAAAAAATTTAAAAAATAATAAAAATAATAAAAAAAGGAGCGACATTCTGAACCATGCTTCAAGATGAGCGAAGCTTGGAAACATCACACTAAAGGAAATAAGCCAGTCATGAAAGGACGAATGTTGAGTGCTTCCCCTTCCACAGGGCACGTAGAGTGAGCAAACTCACACAGACAAAATGTAGATTAGGGGCCATGTGGGGGCAGGAATGGGGTGTTGCTTAACCGGTACTAGGTTTCTGTTTGGGATGACAAAAAGTTATGGAAACACGCAGCGGTAATAGTTGGACAACATTCTGAATGTAATGTCGCTGAAATATGCACTTAAAAATGGTCGGCACAGTCAATTTCACATTGTGCATATTTTACCACAATAAAAACGTAGGTAATATTCCCACATTACTGAATAATAAAGAAAATAATTTTTGAGACAATAATTTTTTAAAACACATGCGCATTTTACCCAGGTTTAAAAAATAAAAGTTAATACGTTTTAAGTTTACCTATTTAAATTTTTTTTATGTTTATTTATTTTGAGAGAGAGACAGCAGGAGCGGGAGAGCGGCAGAGAGAGAGGGAGACACAGAATAGAAAGCAGGCTCCAGGTTCTGAGCTGTCAGCACAGAGATCGATTTGGGGCTCGAACCCACCAACTGTGAGATCATGACCTGAGCTGAAGTCGGACACTCAGTTTATTTGTTTTGAGAAAGAGAGACAGAGAGAGTGCAAGTCAGGGCGAGGGGCCGAGAGACACAGGGACGGAGAATCCCAAGCAGGCTCCGTGCTGTCAGCCAGACGCTGACCTGGGACGCGATCCCACAAACCGTGAGACAGTGACCTGAGCCGAAATCAAGAGTCAAGACGCTTAACTGACTGAGCCCCCCAGTCTCCCCCAGAATTAGTACTTTGCAAACAACATAGATGTGAGCAGGCCCCAGGCCACGGCACACCAGGCCCCAGGCCGCGGCACACCACGGTTCTCTCTGTTTCCCAGCCCTAAGCCAACAAGACTCCCACACTTCCCGGAAGCACCATGAATCCAGCCGGTGGCAGGACATGAAGCAAAGGTCCGGTCCTGGGGGGCCCCAAGCACACCAGGAAATCCACAAACAATAATGGGGCCAGGGCTGGCCTCGAGAGACTTGATCACCTCCGGTTGTCTCTGGAGTAGCCTCAATGTCACGGGCCAGAAACAGAAAAGAAACAGTCCCTACCTGCCTAGCACACGCCATCCAGAGAGGGTGACCAGACTAAACTTACAACATCAGGGGTAATTATATTACAGGAATCGCCTGTTTCTTCATCCAGCCACTGCTTACGGCACGTTCATCACATGACAAGGCCTAAACGCCTCGTTGCTTATTTTCTGTCGGCTGCTACAGTCTGAAGGGAAAGCTGAGACTTTAAGGGACACAGAAATCGTATAGGCTTGTGACATGCAGAATAGAGGAAAGTAGGCATCCTCCATACATTCTCTTTTTTTACTACACAGGGGGAAAAAAAGATTAATAAGAGAGTCACTGTCCCTAAGAAATGCATAAAGACAGATGAGACAGATAAGCACCCAACTGGCGGCAAAAGTCACCCTGAGATGGAGGGAAACTCTCACCCACTCTGCACCAGCCCGTACAGGTCCCCTGCCCCAACTCATTCACCCTCACCATGGCCATCTTAGGAGGCGAGGCAGAGCAGGTAAGGGCCTGGGTGGAAAAGGAAATAAGGAAGACAGGCCAGTCACAAAAGGCCACTTGTGTTCGAAGACTGGTTCGCCATTACCTGTGCGACCCTGGGCAAGGAACTTAACTCCCATGCCTCAATTTTTCTATCTGTAAAATGGAAGTAACAGTAGTACTTTCTTCATGGGGGTGTCATTATGATTAAAAAAGAGAACCCAGGGCACCTGGGTGGCTTAGTCAGTTAAGTATCTGACTCTTCATCTTAGCCCAGGTCTTGGACTCTTCATCTTACCCCAGGTCTTGATTTCAGGGTCGTGAGCTTAAGCCCCACATTGGGCTCTGTGCGGGGGGCATGAAGCCTACTTAAAAAGAGAGAGAGAGAGAGGAAGTGTGCAAGCAGGGGAGGGGCAGAGAGAGACAGAATCCCAAGCAAGCTCTGAGCTATCAGCACAGAGCCCAACTCGGGGCTTGAACTCATGAACTGTGAGATTATGACCTGAGCCGAAATCAAGAGTCGGACACTTAATGGACGGAGCCACCTAGGTGCTCCCAAACACTTGCTATTATTATTAATTTTCAGACAGGAAAACTCATTTTTTATTTTATAGGCAAGAAAATGGAAGTGTGGGCTCTCCCAAGATAACACGGCTGGTAGGTGGTAGAGCCCGGATTTGAATGAAGATTTATTTAAAGCACTCGGACTTTATTTCCCTCTGCTACTGAGAGATGATGGAACATACAGAGTGTTTATGATGACGTTCATAACCTAGAGGCTAGAGGATGGCCGTCCTTGTGTGTTAATCAGGTTGAGACAAACTTGTAGGTAAGACTTGACCTTGATCTTTCAAAGTGGGAGATTTCTCATGCCCTGCTTTTCTGGCAAGGAAATAAGAACTCTTCCAGTAAGCCTTTGTCATGTTGCACCTGAACCGTAAACTGTTACGTTTGTCGAAACGTTGAAACATCCCAGGATGGTCATGGCTGATGATTCAAGTGTTGTGTCCATTGTTAATTACTACAGATATAATTGAACACAAAAAGAACTCGCTGGTCTCCTGAGCCACTTTCCATCACAAGCCAAGATCTCCATTTCACCAACACTGTAAAAGCCAGAATGTAGGGGTGCCTGGGTGGCTCAGTTAAGCAACTGACTTCTTTTTTTTTTTTTTTTTTTACAAATAGTTTACTGTCAAATTAGTTTCCACATAACACTCAGTGCTCATCCCCACAAGTGTCCTCCTCCATGCCCATCCCCCCCCCCCCCCCCCCCCCCCCTTCGTCAGCATTCAAGTCTCTCATGGTTTGCCTCTCTCCCTTTCCCCCACCATTTCCGCCCTTCTTCTCCCCCATGGTCCTCAGTTAATTTCCTCCTAATCCTCCTATACGTGCAAACATATGATATATGTCCTTCTCTGCCTGACTTATTTCGCTCAGCATAACACCCTCAAGGTCCATCCATGTTGCTACACATGGCCAGATTTCATTGTTTCTCATTGCCATGTAGTATTCCATGGTATAGATAAACCACATCTTCTTGATCCATTCATCTGTTGATGGACACTTAGGCTCTTTCCATGTTTTAGCTATTGAAGCAACTGACTTTTGACTTCGGCTCAGGTCATGATCTCACAGTTCGAGGCTGGAGCCTCACGTCAGGTGGAGCCTGCTTAAGATTCTCTGTCTCCCTCTGTCCCTCTCCCCCATTCGCATTCTCTCTCTCTAAAAAATTTTTTTAATTAAAAAATTAATATGTTGGAAGGGACTCTAACATAGCTAACCACATTAATAAATTAATGTTAGAGATTGTGTATTAGTTCATTTGTTTCTCTAGAAGTTATACATTTTTTGGACCCTCGTATTGGGAAAACAGCCCATCAACTTCTATCTAGCCACTTTACACATAGACATATTTGGGAGGTTACAGGTTGCCTGGCGGAGTCCTCAAGGCTTGGGTAGGATGCACAATGTGTAAGGTAAAGGTTCCAGGGGGGAAGGACCTTCAGGAATATGGGCGGAGCA